AACTGAAAATGAAATAAAAAAACAAATGCAATGCCATGAAATGCAATGCATTGAAAAATGCAATGCAATTAGATGCAATGAACATGACAATGAAATATAAAAAAAAATGCAATGCCATGAAATGCAATGAAAATGAAAATGAAATAAAGAAAATGCAATGCAATGAAATGCAATGCATTGAAAAATGCAATGCAATGAAATGCAATGAAAATGAAAATGAAAAAAAAAAATGAAAACAAAATGCAATGCCATGAACTGCAATGCATTGACAAATGCAATGCAATGAATGCAATGAAAATGAAAATGAAATGAAATGAAATATGCAATGCCATGAAATGCAATGCATTGAAAAATGAAATGCAATGAAATGCAATGAAAATGAAAATGAAAATGAAAATGAAAATGAGAAAAAAAAATGCAATGCCATGAACTGCAATGCATTGAAAAATGCAATGCAATGAAATGCAATGAACATGAAAATGAAATGAACAATGCAATGCCATGAAATGCAATGCATTGAAAACGGCAATGCCATGAAATGCAATGAAAATGAAATGAAATGCAAAATGCAATGCCATGAAATGCAATGATATGAAAAAATGCAATGCAATGAAATGCAGTGAAAATGAAAATGAAATATTAAACAAATGCAAAGCCATGAAATGCAATGCATTGAAAAATGCAATGAAATGCAATGAAAATGAAATGAAATGAAAATTGCAATGCCATGAACTGCAATGCATTGAAAAATGCAATGCCATGAAATGCAATGAAACTGAAAATGAAATGAAATGAAATGAAATGAAATGAAAAATGCAATGCCATGAAATGCAATGCATTGAAAAAATGCAATGCAATGAAATGCAATCAAAATGAAAATGAAATGAAACAGAAATGCAATGCCATGAAATGTAATGCATTGAAAAATGCAATGAAAAAGAAAATGACATGAAAAATGCAATGCAATGAAATGCAATGCATTGAAAAATGCAATGCCATGAAATGCAATAAAAATGAAAATAAAATGACAAATGCAATGCAATGAAATGCAATGCATTAAAAATGCAATGCCATGAAATGCAATGAAAATGAAAAAGGAAATAAACAATGCAATGCAATGAAAAATGCAATGCCATGAAATGCAAGGCAGTGAAAAATGCAATGCAATGAAATGCAATGAAAATGAAATGAAATGCAAAATGCAATGCCATGAAATGCAATGCATTGAAAAATGCAATGCCATGAAATGAAATGAAAATGAAAATGAAATGACAAATGCAATGCAATGAAATGCAATGCATTGAAAAATGCAATGCCATGAAATGCAATGAAAATGAAAAAGGAAATGAAAAATGCAATGCAATGAAATGCAATGCATTGAAAAATGCAATGCAATGAAATGCAATGCAATGAAATGCAATGAACATGAAAATGAAATGAAAAATGCAATGCATCGAAAAATGCAATGCAATGAAATGCAATGAACATGAAAATGAAATGCAAAATGCAATGCCATGAAATGCAATGCATTGAAAAAGGCAATGCCATGAAATGCAATGAAAATGAAAATGAAATGAAATGAAATGAAATATGCAATGCCATGAAATGCAATGCATTGAAAAATGCAATGCAATGAATGAAATGCAATGAAAATGAAAATGAAATGAAAAATGCAATTTCATGAAATGCAATGCATTGAAAAATGCAATGCAATGAAATGCAATGAAAATGACAATGAAATGAAAAATGCAACTCCATGAAATGCAATGCATTGATAAATGCAATGCAATGAAATGCAATGAACATGAAAATGAAATGACAAATGCAATTCCATGAAATGCAATGCATTGAAAAATGCAATGCAATGAAATGCAATGAACATGAAAATGAAATGAAAAATGCAATGCCATGAAATGCAATGCATTGAAAAATGCAATGCAATGAAATGCAATGAACATGAAAAAAAATGAAATGAAATTCAATGAAATGAAATGAAAAATGCAATGCCATGAAATGCAATGCATTGAAAAATGAAATGCAATGAAATGCAATGCATTGAAAAATGCAACTCCATGAAATGCAATGAACATGAAAATGAAATGAAAAATGCAACTCCATGAAATGCAATGCATTGAACAATGCAATGCAATGAAATGCAATGAACATGAAAATGAAATGAAAAATGCAACTCCATGAAATGCAATGAAATGCAATGAACATGAAAATGAAATGAAAAATGCAACTCCATGAAATGCAATGCATTGAAAAATGCAATGCAATGAAATGCAATGAACATGAAAATGAAATGACAAATGCAATTCCATGAAATGCAATGCATTGAAAAATGCAATGCAATTACATGAAATGAAATTGACAATGAAATGGAACATGCAATGCCATGAAATGCAATGCATTGAAAATGCAATGCAATGAAATGCAATGAACATGAAAATGAAATGACAAATGCAATTCCATGAAATGCAATGCATTGACAAATGCAATGCAATGAAATGCAATGAACATGAAAATGAAATGACAAATGCAATTCCATGAAATGCAATGCATGCAATGCAAAAATGCAATGCAATGAAATGCAATGAACATGAAAATGAAATGACAAATGCAAATTGCCATGAAATGCAATGCATTGAAAAATGCAATGCAATGCAATGCAACATGAAATGAAATTGAACAATGAAATGCAATGAACAATGCAAATGCCATGAAATGCAATGCATTGAAAAATGCAATGCAATGAAATGCAATGAACATGAAAATGAAATGACAAATGCAATTCCATGAAATGCAATGCATGAAATGCAATGCATTGAAAAATGCAATGCAATGAAATGCAATGAACATGAAAATGAAATGAAAAATGCAATTCCATGAAATGCAATGCATTGAAAAATGCAATGAAATGCAATGAACATGAAAATGAAATGACAAATGCAATTCCATGAAATGCAATGCATTGAAAAATGCAATGCAATCAAATGCAATGAAAATGAAAATGAAATGAAAAATGCAATTCCATGAAATGCAATGCATTGAAAAATGCAATGCAATGAAATGCAATGAACATGAACATGAAATGACAAATGCAATTCCATGAAATGCAATGCATTGAAAAATGCAATGCAATGAAATGCAATGAACATGAAAATGAAATGACAAATGCAATTCCATGAAATGCAATGCATTGAAAAACGCAATGCAATGAAATGCAATGAACATGAAAATGAAATGACAAATGCAATTCCATGAAATGCAATGCATTGAAAAATGCAATGCAATGAAATGCAATGAACATGAAAATGAAATGACAAATGCAATCAAACGCAATGAGAATGAAAAAAATGAATGAAATGAACGCAGGCTCATTGCGGACTGCTTCGCACCTCCTCGCTTCCCGGACCCAGACCTCAGCTTCCCGGAGTCGGCCCGAAGGCCCAGTGAAGACCCTTTTGGTACTCTTCAGGTGCTCTTCGGGTGTGGTGCTCATTCGGCTGCGGCAACCAAAAACCCGGAATTCCAAAATGGCTTGCCCTGGTAAGAGGAAACCTGGGTACAAAATTCCTGCGCTTTGTGCCCCTCCGGGTTAATTTTGAGCCACACCCATTTTTGAGACTTATCCCGGGAAACTAAAGTTGGACCTTTTTTCAGGGGGGGGAAGGGGGGGAAAAGGGACTTCTTTTGGTTGACATGCCAAGCGCAGGGCTTCGAGAAAAACCCGAAGCTCGCCATTGCTCACCTTTGGAGTCGATGCTTCGCAAACAGGCCACTGCTAGATCCTGCTACCCACCGAAACTGGGAAGATCGAAACTGGGTCTACATGGCTGTGGTGTTTTTGTTTTTCTCTTTTTCTGACCCGGGGTACTGGGTGCTGAGTCTAAGCCACAAGTGGCCTGACGGCTTGATCCCTTCAAATGCGATCGATCAGTTCCTGCGGGCTCCGCAAATCAACGTCACGGAAAAACGCGCGGCACTTCGAACAAAAAGATGTGATACTGTGGATGGTGGCGAAATCCAAAAACCGCACCACTTTGGCATGGGAAACCATTGTTTGCTGGTATTTACAGACGAAATCCATTAAACGCAACATGAAAGCATGGGAAACCATTGTTTGCTGGTATTTACAGGGGAAAACACTTTTTGCAGGGTTTCCTTGGTGGTGTAGGATTTCGTCCATCCACGGTACCACATGCATGGCATCAAGCGCAAAGTCCAACCGAGTTGATTTTGCGACATGCATGCCGAGTGCAAATGCGGGGTCCGCACTACCATGCTTAATTGATGGCATGAGACACAGGACTTATCTGAAACCAGAACAATTGTGATTCTGAAATACGGGCCGTTGACGGTCAAACACTGCATTCATTGAATTTAGAACTCCACTTGGTGGATGTTCTTTCCGTCATGCACTTCAAATCACCTCGTACAACTCCAGTGCAAGCTCCAAATGCAAGAGAAAGCTGCAACTCTGAATCTGCAAAAATGATCCGCAACAGAGTGATCTTTTGAGCTGGAAACATTTATGGTTCTACTCCATGCTCAAACCCTCTGCTGTCGCCCATGTGCCCAGGTGTTCGGGTGGCGTGGCTGTCGGCAGCAATGGCTACTGCCAGAACCAGGCGCAAACTCTTGTCAGAAGTTCGAGCTTGGTGCCGAGGGAGTCCTACAACGAAAAAGCACGTCAATGTCCTGTTTATTCTGACGGCTGAGTAATATGCCAACCAGAAAACCTTGCACCGGAGCATGCAAACGCTTTCGCTCCACAGAATCCTTTCAGGAGCTGCGGGTGACACGTGTCGCATCCACACTACGTTGCACGCCTTATGCCGGAGAACTGAAAAAGAAGTCCTTGGATGAAGAGCATTCTTCGAAACAAACATTATGTTTTCCAGAAATGGGTGTGGCTCAAAATTAAATAGGAGGGGTTACGCAGGTTTTGGTCCATGTTTCCACTTACCAGGGTTCCATTTTGGTACCGGTTTTTTGAGCCACGGCCAAATGGGAAAATGGATGTCTGCCCGTGCCGTTGAGAAGGCAGCACCATTCCAGCACCAAGGTTCATTGCAAAAAAGCCACTCACTGCTTCACTGGCCAGCATCACTGCCGAAGGAAAGGTTAGATTTCCTCCACATCAAGGCTGCCGTGCATGTCCCTCATTGTTGGGAACATCACCTGCGCAAGCACTCTCAGCCCGTGCTCGCATGCCTGGATTGGGCATTCCCATGGGTAACGATTTGGTCCACATACCTGAGGAATCACGTGCCACGGCGCTAAGTGGGGAGACTTTGGCAGGCTTCAAACACCTCTCTGCAACGAGCCTGATTCTTCACGTCATGCTCCTGCCAGCCAACTACGGTGGCGCCTTATATCGCATACCAGCTCGCCTCAACTCAAATGTCGCAATCTTGCCCTGAGGACCACCTCAGGACCACCTCACCTCAGGACCACCTCACCTTAGGACCACCTCAGATCATCAGACCATGAGATCACCTGGCTCACTCTCCTGGATGACCAGCTGTCGCTTTGCAGCTGCGCTCCACGTGAGGTCTGCACGCGCCGTGGCCTGGCGCATGTCTTTTCATGGGCCCCCATTTTCTGGTGTTCCCCTCAGGCCATAGCTTAGGCCTTTAAATTCGGGGGGCTGAGCGCCTTTGACTTCGCCTGATGTAACGAGCTTTTTGAGGGCACCAATTCTTCTGCGCCTGCGATCGGGTGTTCGCAATTCTTCCACTCGCTGGCGGACGGCCTTGACTTGTGTTTCTCCCAGGATCGGGGCGGTCGCGACGGGAAGCGCCGCAGACGGCTTGGGTTTCTTTAGGGCCGGTGTTTGGTTAGCTTAGGGTTGGTTTGGTGCTGGTTAAGGGTGGGCTTAGGGTCGGGTTCTTGTGGGGTTCGTGGTGGGTTTAGGTTGATTTCGGGTAGGTCAGGGTAGCTTTAAACTGGTTTAGGAATGAGTAGTATGGATTTAGGGTTGGTTCAAGTTTGGTTTCGGGTGGTTTAGGCCCGGTATAGGGTTTGCTTTGGGTTTGTTAGGGTTGAGATGTTTGGTGGTTCAGGGATTGTTTAGTCCTGATTTGGCGCTTGCAAACATCTCTGGCGCCCCGCCCAAAAAACGAAAAAGAAAAAAACTCTTTCCGCAGTGTGGAAAGATCCGCGCCAGGCGGCTGTTGCTGGGTGGTTTGCCTCAATATAGCTGTGGCTCAAAACCAATGGGATCCCATTTGGGGTAGGTGAATTCACCACCCATTTTAGAACCTATTTTAGTGGCGATTGGGATGTTCACTGGGGGTAGGATTTGGATTTTGACCCATGGCCATATGTGTAAGCGTTGCATCCTCGCAGGATTTGGTCCATCCCGAAGTTTCCCCAAGGCTTGCAAGAGGGGGCGTGCTTTTTGGGCACCCCAAGGGAAGCGGCTGCCATTCTGGGCCTACAGAGCTCAAAATGGTGACCCGTTGGCAAAAGGAAACTAACCGCTTGGGACCACTTGGGAGGTCTTCTTTTTTGAGTGCCTTTTGGTTGCCCCGTTCTGAAGGGGGGAACCCCCTTGCCACTTGTCCCCAAGCAAAAGAAACACACCCATGCTGAAACCCCCAACCCCCCCCCAAAAAAAAAAAAAAAGCAGAAACACCGCTGAGAAAAAAGAAGAACAAGCTCCCCTTCCCCGCCCTCCCCCCCCCAAAAAAAAAAAAATGAGACACCCGAAAGGACCTGGAGCTTCCCTTGCGCCTCCTTCAGCCCGCGCAGCTCCGTGGCCAAGTGTTTACCCGCCTGCACCGAGGGCTTGGAAAGGGGAGGGAGGGGGAGGGGGGGAGGGGGGGAGAGCGGGGCCCGTTGGTTGGGAAAAAACGGGGAACTGGACCTGTTTTGGGTGCTCCATTACCTGAAAAAAAGAAACTTGGGGGGGATGTGGGTGTGAATATGTTTGCTTGTGAGTTTCAAGAAACACGCTTGTCTGCTTGCTGCTGCGAGTGTCGCGTGCGCAAGCAGGCGCTTACATCTGCACCAAACAACATGTTCCAAATCAACGCACGCAAGAACTACTACAAGAAACGCACGCGCTTGCTTTCTGTTGCCAATGTAAGCGCCTGCAAAGAGGCCAATCAGTTTGGGGTGAGCTCAGGAGCTGGCGGCACGCGCCAACGGCGTAGACAAAAAAAGGCGTTGCTTGTGAATTTGTAGGGTCCGTTGGTTATTATGCATCTGTGTTTGTTTTTGTTTGCTTTCTTTTGGGGGGGTCCGTTGGTGGACGTGTCCACCATTTGCGAGGCTATTCGTCTCAAAAACAGAGGAAATATGTTTGGACATGTTTTCTCACAATGGTTCCATGAGTGACTACTGGATAGGGTTGGAAAGGATTCCATCAAGTTGGATAGGGCTCCTTGCGGAATTCCGCGGAAGAGCCGCTGCAGCTGGAGTTCTAAGGTTTGCCGAGGAAAGCCACGAGGATCGCTTTTTGGCGGTCCCTAGTTTTGACACATATCCGAATGCCGCTGCATCAAACTGGTAGCATCCTTTCAAAACCCAGTCTTACACCGCGCGTTCCAAGCGCGGTAGTCGCCAAATGCCAAAAAAAGACAAGACAACTCTTGCAGATTTTTAAAAGTGAGGGGACTCTTGGGGATACGAGGGAGCGAAGAGAGGCCCCGAGGCTCCGGCCATGTTCATGCGCTGCTGGATCTCGTCGGCCTGTTGATTCAGCTGCCTGCCGCGAGGTTGGCCCTGTCTCGCTCGCGCGAAGCCGAAATCAAACCACCACTGGAGGTGGTTTAAACATCGGCGAGGTCGCTTTTTTACGGGAGCCGTTCGTTTTGGCTGTTTTAAAGGGAAACCAAAAAGAAAACCGCCATTTTGGGGGTCCAAATCCAAAAACAAAACACACCAAAATATATGGCCAGTTCCTCTGTGACTTCAGCTGGATTGATCCAAACGCGCTTTCCCAAGCCGCCTCAACCGCGCAACCCACTTTTTGGCCATTCTCTTATTCTTCTCCAGGATGGTAATGAGCCGGCACAAGTCCTGTCCTGGCGAAGAACTTGAAAAAAAAGAGACGAAACAAACGCATCGCCGTGTTTTGTTTTGTTTTTTTTGTGGGGGGGGGGGGAACCTCATGTCCAAAGGCCTTACAAATTTTCAGACATGGGGCACTAAGGTGGCAGATCGATCTGTCCTTTGGCTTGGCCTTTGACCTGGCGATGCCGGAAACTCGATCACGCGCTCATGCTAGGTATCCAAAACGGACTCCGGCTGCATGGGAAGCAAGGACGGAATTCCTGGCGGCTCAATTCCTGGCGCTGACCAATTTTGACCCACGCCCATGCGCGCGACTCCGCGCCTTGAACAAGCCGTTGAGGAATTCGATGGGAGTGAGAGCTCCGCTCCTGGCGCAGGAGAACGTGCTCGGGACCGAAAGCGATTAACCTGAGTGCGAGAAGCCATTTGGGTGTCTCCCCAAACTGGGAACCTCCAAAATGAGTGGTTTTCCCTTTGGCGTCCCTTTAAAACAACAAAAAAGGGCACCAACTCAAACAAACAAAAAACATTTGCCACGATCAGATCCTGCAAACTCTTCGCCACTACTCTCCAACCTATCTGCAAGCAAGGCTCTTGTCGATATCCATCAGCTCAAACCTGGAAGCAAGCTCAACATGCACATGCAAAATGCCTAGCCCCCCCCTTTTTGTTAAAGCAGATGCAAGCCGCAAGAAGTCCGATGTCAGCCACAAGCCGCAAAGCGATGGGTCGCTGTTTGTTTTTTCGTGTTTCTTGGGATAGTTGTTTGTTTTGTGTTAAAAAGATTCCCCGGGAAAGCCAAAAGGAACCCAGCCATGGGTCTCAGTTGCATTCCAGGGCGCAAGCTCTCGGCTTCATCCGCTCCAACACCGAGATAGCTCAGCTTCTTCGACATCGTCGGAGTCCTGGACGTCGCGAGACTTTGCTTTCACAGTCCGGGGCAGTCTTTGCGTTCGAAAAAGGAAACCAAGAGAATGGAGACCCGAAGAGTTCGGGGCAGATCTCCGCACCTGGTTGCGACTGTCTACCATCCATCTTTTTGCATCAATTGTGACGCAGTCGCTACAGCTTTCGCACCGGTTGGGCGGCCGTCCTCAGGACTTTGCGGAATTCCTTGTAGTCCAGCTCGCCATTGTAGTCCGAGTCGCATTCCTCGGCAGGCCCGTGACGTCGAGCGCCCGTCCACAGTCACGACTCCAGTGCAAATGTTTGGAAGGGATTGGATTTGATCATAGAACATGCACCAAGTCAATGACATGGGGGGTACTTAAATAAGAACCCATTTCCCAGAATGGCAAGGGATCCCCCTACCCACCAAACGGGGGTCCCCTAACCCATTTTGCGAAACCGAATCGTGTCCCCCCGTTGCGCCATGCTTCGGTGAACTCCTCCAACATCAACGTCATCAAATGCCGCTCCGACTTTGCCATGACCGTTGCTCTCGACTCCTTCGGATACAACGAGACGCGCCACACCTATGTTCGGCCCAACCCCGGGAGAAAATTTCAGGCTTAAACTCAGGTCTGGGAAAATATGGTCCCGCTCAGCTTCCGTCTCATTGGTGATTTGGATTGGCGGCTTGCTGGCGGATAGTTTCCCATTTACCCTCTACTAGAGAAACGAGGGTTCAAATCCCAATCCAAACCACCAATTGCCAAAATTGAGGGGTTCCTGAGTCCCCTTGTTCAATCAATCAGAGTCCTGGGTCTCTGCCGAGATGACGACCATCCTTGGCCACAGCCACAGTGCCACAGACTTTCCAAGGCCACCTTTCGCCGATATGATTTTTGATTTGGGAACCCTCTGATGAACATCATTTAAATTGTTACGTGCTGTGTTGTGCTCACCAAACATTTTGGAGCACGTTCTTCATTACTAGCCAAAGGTGAGCCGCCCACGCACGGGCTGCCTACGCCTCCAGTGGTGGCCCAAAACGGTGGAACTGAGCCTCGCACCTCTCGACCTCAGAAAAGCTCTGAGGCACATGCTCACCCGAAAACATGCCAAAATACAAGCCCCAAACCAACCCCCACACCAACCTCCAAACCAACCCCCAAATCAACCCCCAAACATGCAAGAAAAAAATCAAGCCCCAAGCTTTCCAATGGGTGGCCCCAAGGAGCCCGGTGGTTTGGTGGTTGAAGGGGTTCCCATCTACCCTCCACAAGAACCAGGGTTCAAATCCAAATCCAAAAAACCAATCCAAACCACAAAACCGCCATCCCGAGACCGGAACCTCCCGAAATTGCTGCCAGCTGTAGTGTCCGAGTTCCGGATGCTTTCTAACGCTCCCATCCCTGCCTGAGTTTCGCGATTCAGTTGTCTGAGTTGCGCTGGCGAAAAAAACTCGCTGGTGTTTTCTGACATTCGCCACAAACGCTGAAATCCGAAGACGATGGCTGGGAACCAGCAAGTCATGAACAACTCCTAACCTGCTGCGCCATTCGGCCGCTTGGTTGGCAACTGGCGAAATCCGCCGACAGACGGCGTGTTGGACATAAGAAATGCTCCTTGCCTCTTTGCATGTTACCCCTCTGGTGGCCACAAACCAAACCACGCGGAGATGAAAAATTCTTTCAGATGGTCTGTGTGGGACATAGTTGCGTCAAAAAACATCCGCTGTTGCATCCTTAGCATCTCCGGAGAAACTTCGCCAGCACCACATGCATCATCCGCATCATTGACAAACATTGATGCGGATGATGCAGGTGATGCTGGGGATGTTGCCCACGCTGGTGAAAGGACATGAAGGGAACTGCATGGAAATAAGGGACATGAAGTGAAATGAAGGAAAATAGAAGGACATAATTGAAGGATATAAAAGAAAATAGCGGGACAGGAAGGGAAGTGAAGGAAAGTGAAGGGAAATGAAGGGAACTGAAGGGAACTGAGTGGCAATGAGTGATGGGACATGAAGGGAAATGAAAGCTTAAGGGCCTTAAAATCTGAAAATCTGAGTGGCTTAACGTGTTAAAATCCGACTCGCTTAAAGTCTGAACATTATAATTTATAATGGATTCCCTTTCCCCCTCTCAGATCTTTTGCAACCTTTCCCCCCTAAGATCTGTCCCCCTTTCCATCCCCAACAATTGTTCCCTTCGTAAGATCTGGTGAAAGGAGATGTGGGGGAAATGAAGGGAACTGCATGGAAATAAGGGACATGAAGTGAAATGAAGGAAAATAGAAGGACATAATTGAAGGATATAAAAAAAAATAGCGGGACAGGAAGGGAAGTGAAGGAAAGTGAAGGGAAATGAAGGGAACTGAAGGGAACTGAGTGGCAATGAGTGATGGGACATGAAGGGAAATGAAAGCTTAAGGGCCTTAAAATCTGAAAATCTGAGTGGCTTAACGTGTTAAAATCCGACTCGCTTAAAGTCTGAACATTATAATTTATAATGGATTCCCTTTCCCCCTCTCAGATCTTTTGCAACCTTTCCCCCCTAAGATCTGTCCCCCTTTCCATCCCCAACAATTGTTCCCTTCGTAAGATCTGGTGAAAGGAGATGTGGGGGAAATGAAGGGAACTGCATGGAAATAAGGGACATGAAGTGAAATGAAGGAAAATAGAAGGACATAATTGAAGGATGTAAAAGAAAATAGCGGGACAGGAAGGGAAGTGAAGGAAAGTGAAGGGAAATGAAGGGAACTGAACGGAACTGAGTGGAAATGAGTGACGGGACATGAAGGGAAATGAAAGCTTAAGGGCCTTAAAATCTGAAAATCTGAGTGGCTTAACATGTTAAAATCCTACTCGCTTAAAGTCTGAACATCATAATGGATTCCCTTTCCCCCGCTAAGACCTTTTCCAACCTTTCCCCCCTAAGATCTGTCCCCCTTCCCCCCTTCCTCCCTTCCTTTTTCAGATCTTCCCGCCTTCCCCCCCCCCAAGATCTTCTCCCCCCTTTCCGCCAGATCTTCTCCGCCCTTTCCCGGCCCCCCCCCCTAAGAGGTTTACCACCTTCTTCCCCACTGTGATCTGTTCCCCCCTTTCCCCCCCTGCTATCTAGATTCTACGGAAGAAAGCGGCGAAGAACCCCACTGCACAGGCAGCTTAGCAGTTGTCTGAATCACACCTTGGACCTTCATAAGGAAGCTCGAACCTTAAAGGAGCCTTATAAGGACGCTTATAAGGAAGTTTACAAGGAGCCTCACAAGGAGCCTTACAAGGGTCTGCTGAGAAGGCGACCATGATGGCAAAGAGAATGTTAAGCACCCCAAAGCTCAGAACCAGCATGCTGAAGTAGGCGACCTGAGAACTCAAATCCCAGCCGCCATGGACGTGCGAAAGCAAGGCAAGATGTTCATGCCTGTAGTGGGTGCGAGCACTAGTCCTACGATGCAAAGTGATCTTGAAATGACTCGTTCGTATCCTGCACACGCTCGTCTAGTTGCGAAACATCTGTTTATCCCCAAAACGAGAAATATGACGGCTATGCGCTTCAGCGCGTCAGTGCCAAGCTGCCATCAGGCCAAGCGGAGCATAGACCGACATCGGTCGCAGTATCGTCTCCGAGACGCAGTCCATGGTCATGATCTGTCGTTCGAACGCAAGCTGGAAATGCGAGCGAGGGGTATTGACTCGCCAATCGACAGGGTTATATAACTGCAGGTCATTGCAACGGATCAGCATCTAGAATGTATGAATGTACATATGCATGTATATATATATATCATGTATGTATGTGTATTTATAAATGTTCGCCCTCAAGCATGCGACATGAGAATCAGATCCCCCGTCCTGCAAGACAGTGAACAAGGACCTGGAGCAGATCAATGAGGCAAATGTGAAAAAACAAGGCGCTCGGACTGTCAGAGCACCTGGTCACAGTTCCGCAGTAGAGGTCTGACTCTGGCCAAAGCTCACGTGATGCCTAAGGGACGGGCGAAGTCAACCATGGCTTTGTCTCATAGGGAAACATCCAAAGTGGGTGGCTTCCTTGTGTTTAAAAGAAACCTCCAACAAGGGCACCGACTGAAAACCAACAAACAAACAAAAAACGAGGACAAGGCCATGTGCTCTGAGCAACCATTCAGCCAAGATGCCGTGTCCGATCCAACCAGGGACGTCAAAGCAACCGCCAGCATGTACGCAAATATCGATGCAGCAACGAATGTCCACAACATTGACTTCAAGGCATCAAGAAACCTCAGGATGCGGATCTTGCAGAAGTGTCTGCAGAATCTAGCTGACACAAAGAGCTCGTGCTTGTGGCATAGGCCACTTGAACTTCATCCAAGGAGCCCTTGTGTTATTCTAAAGAGCCCCATGACCAGCTTTTCACCCCGGATGGCTCGGGCAACTCGTAGGGAACGAAAGACACCTTGGATCCGCTCCACTGGCGCGTCTCTCTTGCAACCAGCTTGGGAGGGCTCTAAAAAACGAAACCAAACCCAAAAACCGGCCAAATCTGGGGCTCTTGGAACCCCCTGCTTTGGGCTTCGGTCTTTTCCCTTGCTTCCCCTAAAAGACTCCAACAAAGTCAAAAAAGCATCCATACCCATGTCTGAAAACTTCAAAAGCGTCAGTCCACTGGCAAGGCAAAAGAACCACCCTATTTCAGTCGATGGGTTGGACCCCGCAAAACGAGCGCTTTGCTTGTGGCTTTCCCTTTCAACCCGACCAAATGCGGGTCTCAAAAACAGAAAATCACACGATCGATCAATCTTTGGCTGGGTGCGTGCGGAGGCTGCCCACCGCAACCCGCTGCCATCCGATTTGGCCACACTCACCACCTCGGAGTGACGATCCGTCCAACATCTGCGGCTCCGATGTCGAAGTGCCAACTGGGTTTTCCTGGCCCCCCCAGATCCCCTGCCAAAAGTCAAAAACTTTGAGTGGTTTAGTGGAGACTACCACTTAATGCTTCACAGCTGAAAGTTTAAGGGGATGGCTGAGAACCACCAAGGGAACCAAACGAACCGAAATTACGATAGTTGCCGCAATTGGAAGAAAGGATAGGACTCGCCCCCGCCCCCAAATCGACCAAAGACAACCAGTAATTCTGTCCGAATCTCAAAAGTGGTTCATCATGGACTGTTTCCTTTCGGGCTTCCTTCAAACAAACAAATGGTTTCCCAAACAAGACAATAGGGATCCCAACATTTACAGGCGACCTGCGAACCGATCAAGCATCAGTGCCAGCAAGCTTCAATGTCTGCAACGCTGAACACAACCAAGCAGTAGTCGAAGACATTCCAGGCATCCATGAAATAGTCCTGGCGTGTCGTAGCGGGTGCAACTCTTGCGATGCAAAAATGCCTGAAAAGGAAAGGCATGCCGAAAGAACGGCACGACAACGTGGGCTGCTGCAACGCAACGCAAACAACTGTCAAAACTCTGCATCAGTTGTGAACCCACGTTAGCTGTTTCTTTCGTGGGGAACACAAAGAGTTGGCATTCATCCCTGCAAAGGCCGGGAGTTTTCGCTAAATGGCTGCGAACGGTTAGGAAGCCAAAAGGACGCCCACGGGTTCTCGGACGGATTCCTTTTTTGAGAGTTCCGGGGCCACTGCGCCCAAGCGGCCCAGCTGAACTGATTCACCCTGAGCAGCATCTCCGCGAAGAAGATGCAGGTGAAGAGCACCTCTATGAGGAACCACGGAAGCCGATCCTCCAACCTGACCCCGGAAGTCGGCTCGCGACTCCGGTTCCGAGGCCAAAATCATGACCCGATCCGCATACCCAAGGCCCTGGGCAAGGCGCACCGGAAAAGGGAAAATAAAAAGGTGTGTCGACATGCGGGTATGGGTCAAAATTAAACCACCAGGAATTGGACTGCAGGTTGTTGCCCATGTCTCCACTTACCAGGGTTCCATTTTGGGTACATATTTTGACCCACAGCCATGTGAGTGACACATGAGTCTTGATGTTCATTCTATTTTTCAATCTAACCACCTCTCCACTTAGAAACCCCTGCTTGGCTTGCCTGGTGTACACCTTCCAAACGCGAAACCCTTGCTCCCTTTCGGACTCATTCAGTCGGCTGCCTGATACCTCTGGAGTTGTCACTCTCGAGTCCTCAGATCCCAATCGGCTGAGCCGAAAGTACGCCAGGAACGCGCCCAGAGCTTTGGTGTGGCCCTTTGTTCGAACCATGATCCGAAAGAAAAAAGAAAAAAAACGAAACGTGCGTGGCCCTTCCCCTGCTCTGCGACTTAAGTTTCAGCCTCCCGAAGCTGCACGACTCCGGGTCCTTTGAATCGACCAGGCCGAAGCTGCGTGCGTTGCGGCTTGGACTCATCTGAGGTTTTTTCTCTTCTTTGTGGTTTGGTTGTTTGGCTGCTTGGCCCTTTGGTTTCTCCATTTATGGGAGGCCCTGGCATGTCCATTGACCAGCTCAGCACGTGGCTCACCACATCTTTGTGGCAGGTCAAAATAGAGAAACCCCCCAAATTGTTTTTTTTCCTCTCCTCTTTAAACCCAGAGTTCAGGGCACCAGCTCTGAACCAAGCCCAGAGTTCAGGGGCACCAGCTCTTCCGAATCTCTACGAGGTTCCGATCAGGATGGTGTTGGCCACGGTCGCAAAGACCACCAAGAAGTTGAAGCTCCAGCTCGAGGCGCAGTGCCGCCGCCTGATGCCGCGAATCCAAACCCACGGCGCGATCGATCCAGCCGGGAGGAAAAAACCTCCGCCGCGCAAATTGGCCGAGCAGGCAAAGAGAATGCAAAAAACGAAGAGGCGCCTCGTTAAGAGAACAACAAGAACACCCATCGCTTGGTTCCGCCCCGGGCTGAGCAAAAAGGCCTTACAACCCCCTGCAGCCGGGTAGAATCACTAAACAATGGCAAGGTATGCGGTCAGTGATTTTGGGTGGGATGTGGAACAACAAAATGTCTGGTGTCACTTCAGTTCCGCTTTGGGAGAAACCAAAAAGTGTACACTCGAAAAAGACAGACCCTCCTTTTGTCTGGCCCGGACCTTCTGGGAACTCTGCAAACCACATGGCCATGGCTGTGCTGACCGAAAAAAGTGCCAGGAAACGCGAGACCCGCCCAAAAGCACCCCCTGACCTTGGACTTCTCAGTCAACACCCTGCAAGGTCAAAAGAGACATCAAGCCCCAAAACCAACTGAAACACCGGAAAAAAATATCGCAAAGCCCGCACCTGGTGATCTTGTCATCGGGCAGCTCTGTTCGAATGTGCTCAAAGACGCTGAGTAGCCTGAGCAAGCGCACAAGCGCCTGAGAGCACGCGCCGCTACAAACTTTGGATGGTCCTACATGAGTCACAATCAAAACCTGGTACAAAAATGTGAACCCAACACCATGTAAAGAGTTACCAAGGCGGCCGCACCTATTTCTGGTTGGGAGTGCCCCTTCTAACCGTCATCTACCTGGGTTTTGATTGTGGCTCAAATGCCCGTGGAGCAAACTTCTTGAAATGTGATGAGACCGTTCGATGTCCTGAGTGATGCTTGGCATGTCTGTAGGCCGCCGCCTGTCTGTAGGCTCATCGAACTGCTTCCTGCTCAGTGCATGCCACACATTCCCAGCGGGCCTACACAAAACAAAATGCTTGGCAGAGTTCCATTTCTTGATTGCTCCATGTTACACTGAAACGCAGGGGTGCTTGATTTCCTCAAAAGGGAAGGGTTTACGTGTAGAATCAAACAAATGGAACCCTGAGGACTGAAATGAGAGGGTGTCCAAAAGGCCAACCATGCGGCGGGTGTTGGACCAAATCAAAGGTTTGGGTTCATATATGAGCCCATGGCCATGTTGGACCCGTTGGGCTGAGTTCCCATACTCAAGCCACAACTAAGGGTTAATTGACCCACGAACCAGGGGTTCGTAGGTTCATACCAGGGGTTCATACCAGGGGTTCCAACCATACGGAAGTAGACATTCAGCCGTCACGAGGTCACGTAGCCAGCAGCGGTCCTCCCTATGCACCACCTGAACCTATCCCAAAGCATGGCTGGCCATGGCCCAGCCCATCGGATCGGGCCGCACTGAAATTCTGAAAGCTGCGGTTCCGCCGTGGCAAAAATCAGAGGGAGAACGTCAGGCGTCAGCTCCAGCTGCAGCGCTCCTCAACCAAACCCCACCGGGTGAAGTCTTGGATTTTTGTTTATTTATTTTTTCAGTTGCAAGCGAAGAGTCAGGCTCCGCTGTTCGGAGGACCGACACAAAACACATGACTAAAAGTCCTCAACTCTACAACTTTACACAATAGCATGTTACACATACATCTACTGAAATGGAGCAAGGAGCAAGTGAGAAAAGCAAGTCACATTGGACTGCTTACTCCATGCGCTTCATGTACATTTCCATCAGTGAAAGGCAGCGGCCATCACCTCGCAGAGTGGCAGAAAGCAACTGGTCAGAAAGCAAGCTCCATACCACTCTGAGAAAATCTGAGAAAGGAGATTGGCTGACTTGGATGTGGGTCAAAACCAATGGTAACATTTTGGGGTAGGTGCACCACCCATCTTAGTCTGTTTTAGTCGGGATTGGGATGTTCACTGGGGTTACGGGCTTTTGGCCCATGGCCACTTGAACAGAGCGCATTGAGCCACCCAACATCATCTAGTCGTCCACGGTGAGAGCCGGCTGAATCAGGACCATCCAAGGTAGCTGCACCCCTTTGTCGTGTGCGTCCTCGGATCCTTGATCGCGGCAGCGGAAAGCAGGCAGCGCTCTGTTTCCAGGCCCAAGCAAGGCCATGTGGGTGTGCATTGTTTGGAGTTGGTACCCCCTTTTGGCTGGTTTTACGGGGAAATCAAAAGGAAAGCCACCCATTTGCGGGCTGCAATTCCTAAACAAAGGACTCCAATCTTCAAAAAGAAGACACACCCATGTGAAATCTCTTCAAACCCTACGGACACTACCCCCACACACCACAAGGCATGGTGGCCATGCAGAAGGTTGCGGTTGGGACCACCCAAGGCTTGTTTGGGTAGGGGGGGGTGTTCTAGCAGATTAGCAGGCTGAGGGTGTTCAGCACCCAACGCCATTACATTGCGTGGCCCAATTGGTTCTAACTCAAAATTGATCCTTTTGGACACCTAACTCAAAAATGTGTTTATTTGTGGTCTCTCTCTTCTTTCTTTTTTTTGGGGGGGGAGGGGCGGGATTTTCTTCGCACATCGCTTGCGCTGTCCCAAGGCCATGGTCATCGGATCGAATCCGAGAAAAAATCCGGCGGCTGGGCGCCGGGCTCGCAGCTGCCCTTGGAGCAAACGAGAGCATCGCCGTCTCGCAACCTCACGCCGAGCGCTTGTCGCCAGTCCCGACCGAGGGGTTTGCCTGGCTCAAGATACCGTGGATGGAAATGCGAAATCCAGAAATCGCACCACGAACGGAAACCATGGTTGAAACCACAACGTTTGTTGGTATTTACAGGGGAATCATTCTTCCAGGGTGTCTTAGGGGGTGCAGGATTTCGTCCATCCACAGTATGGCTGTGGCTCAAAAATCGGGTCACCCCAAAACGGCTTGCCCTGGTAAATGGACACATGGGACTAAAAC